ACTTCAATATACATTTAATTATATAATAATATTTCATTTTTATTGTAGAATGATGTAAAAAAATTTAACTTGGTTATACTTTTATTATCGAAATTGATTAATTCAATAATTTGTTTGTAATTTTAAATTAAAATCATGATCATTTATTTTATTTCCTTCTTTCGTGTTTATCTTGTTCGTCAATACTCGTATGTTATTATTAATATTACATGTATACAAATTTTCATTATCTTTTTATCTTCGATACTTTTTAAAAGTCGAATTTTATTTATTTCATTTCCTGTTTCAATGCTTTTTTTTTCATATTTATTTTTTTTTTTTTTACTTCCATTTTAATGTTTCCACATTTATCTCTAAGCACGTATTTTTTTCATTTATTTTTCATAGCCCTCCTCCACTGTCCCGGATCGTAGTCGTTATCATCCCTTTCCATTTCATGCCCGACTTTTGTTATTCTCTACACGAGACACGTAAAAGAATTCCCTGTATGTCCATTCATCCGCCCTTATCTTTCCTTCCCCGTATTTTGTTCTTTGAACTTTTTAATTCTATCCTATTCCGTATTCGCTCTGACCTCTCTCTGTTACCCTCATCACCTCTCACCATCTTTGTTTAATCTCCGTGCAAATACATATAAGGGGATTGGACAAAGAATATTTCAATCCCGCCTATTTACGCATTTGTTCCCAGCTTTAATCTTTCCTCCATTTTTTCTTTTTTTTTTTTCGATTCTGTATCGATGTGTTTTTTCTGCTATCTTATTAAGGAAATCTTTTCGTCCTTTCAGATTGTAATTTGCGTCGAAGAATATATTGAAATATTAAAATAGTTTGCGCGATTAAAAAGGATAAAAGACACGAGGCGATGGATATATTACTTTTTTAAAAAATTGTTTACCTCGTGTAATAACAATACAAGAGAACATTCTCTCAAATTGAACCAACCCATCACGCGACGAGCAATCATCTTTGCCTCAGCAACATCTATTCCTATATCACGATAGAGCTCCAAGTTTCCTAAGCCGAAGCTTAGCCCCTTATAGCATAGGTCTGGGCCCTTCCTTCGACCACTCTCTCGCAATTATACTCTACTTTTTCTTGCCTAAACCTCCATCTTCCTGGACCTTCTCCCCCTCCTATCTCGTCCTCGACTTTGCCACGTTCCATCGCCCGTAATTGGCCCTTGGACCAACTCGAAAGTGGAGAGAAAAGGTGGAAGAAGCTCGCTCGAGAAGAGTGGAGGAGGCAAGATTGGAGGGTGAAGAAGTTTAGGGAAGCGGATGGAAAAAGGCGGGAAGCGATGATTTGCATCGACGAGGGATACAGTGGCCGGCCTCGAAGGGTTCGAAAGTGGAGAAAAATAGGGCAACAACAAACTGTAATTAGAGAAGGGAAAAGAGTAAAGGGAAAGAGGAGGGCTGCGTGGACAAATGGGAGCGGGTATAAAGAAAGGGGTGCAAAAAGAAGTTCGTGTCGGCGGGGGAGGGAAAAAGTAGTAGGGAAAAATAAGGAGAGTTTGAAATAGAGAAATGGAGGGGGTGTGTGGGAGGGAGAAAAATGGAGAAACAGAGAACTAAAAGCCGGGCTGGGAAAAAGAAGAAGAAATCGGTAGAAAAAAGACAGAGGGAAAGAAAGAAGGAACAGAGAGAACGGGCAAGTTCGTGAAGAGAGAAATATGGGACAAGAGAAATTATGTGCGAAAAAGAGGAGGAGTGAAGTGGGTAAAAAATCGAGAAAGTACGTGAGCAGGGACGAGAATGAAGAATTAAAGAAACTCGAAACTGCGTCTATAAAAGAGTAACGGAGAAGGAGCAGTCCTGTGAAGAGAGAGAATCGTAAAAACGGGGAAGAATGTATCGGCGGGTGAAAAAAAGATGGGCTGGAAGGGTGGAGCTGTGCGACAAAGCTGTGCGAGGTGGGTTAAAAGGTGGTTAAAAAATGTAAACTAGAGCAGAGCGAGATCCTGAGTGGAGGGGACAAGAGCGAGTATAAATAAGCCATAAAGAAAAACAGACAATGGCTCCGCGACTTCCGCGAGGAGACTTTGCATCGCAAGGGATATTGCGCCACGAGATACAAGGGATAAGGGAGCTTCCTTTCACCCCCTTGGGATAGACGGCTGCCGTACTTTAGACTTTAGCCTTTAGGGGTGAGATATGCAGAAATTAAATATTCATTTGGACTAGCAACCCTCCTCTCGTCTCGGTCTGTCACACGCCCACTACACCCTCCTTGCCTCGAAAATAATGCCTTGGCTCGGGGCCAGTCTCGCTCAAGGCTCTCTTCCTTCCTTCCTTCCTTCCTTCCTTCCTTCCTTCCTTCCTTCCTTCCTTCCTTGTCTTGGAGGAAAAAGATGGCGCGTTTCGATACCAAATAACAACCTCTTCCTCTTCGCCCTTTCTTCTTTTAATTCTCCCTGCCTAATTCCAACCCTCGTCCTCCCGTCTCGACGTATCGTTCCGCGAGGAAACGTAACCTGTTGAACCATTCGATGAAATAATAACAAGCAGTTTGTACGCCATTTGCCGGAAGAACGTTGCACACGGAACCGTGCTCTGCTCTCTGAAACTTGGAGACACATATATATGTATATGTATCGCGCGTTGTTGCGCAACATACATATGCACGTTTCCTCGAACCGGTTGATGAAGTGTTCTCCCTGGCGTGGAATTGCACCGCTTGCTTCCTTTTGCTCGAGCACACATCCTCCGGGAGGATGGCGTTCAGGGGGAGGATAAAAGGATTTGTTTTGGAGGTTTGTGGAGTGGTGGTAGGTAAGGAAGGGGGTTGGTGGATGAAATTTGAATATAGTCGTAGTTTCCGCGGCCAGAGTTCGTTGGGGGGGGCGTCGTGATGGCGGTTAGGTTGAGAGGAGGATACTTTGTACGTTAATCGTTGTACAAATAGTGATTAAACGGTGGGCTGAATGTTGCACGTTCACTACTGCGTTTCCCTGCCTATAATTATTTTTGGGTAATTAATTTTAAACGATGGTATTTCGATTCTTTTGTTTTATTCGATTGGAATTATTCTTTTTTGTTTGTGGTATTGGGCAATGGTTTACTTCAATCGAGTACGTTTTAAGGGGATGTGGATGTTGAACGATGGTTTTCACTGGTTTCGAAGGAAGCAATTGATTTTAGTTTTTTTCACTTTCGGTGAATTATTTGCAATTAAGGATTTTATTGCTTTTTCTTTATCCAACATATCCTTGATATTTTGTATAAAAATGGAGGAGAAGTTTTCTTCGTGAAGTATTATTAATTAAAATTAAAAAAAAAAAATAGTTCCGTGAGCAGGATAAACGATCGATTGATTTAAACTCGACAATTTTGAAGCAGGTGTAAAACCAGGAATCTCTCTTCTCGTCGAGTAATCCTCGTATTTTAATTATAACGCGATCTTCTTACGTTTACATATTTTTAATCCACGTTCTCGCAAAAATACACGTCCCTCGAAATGTTTGTCGCATTGTGTATAATTTTTCGCGCGAACTTGAGCGTAACACAATCACGTCTCGTTAAATGCGATACAATTAAAACCGAGAGAGTTGAATCCACGTTTTCCAAAACTCGACTGCCGTATATCAGATATATCACGTATCCACCAAACTTTTAATCCCTTTTAATTTCTCGAGAACCGGTCGGAACAACATTTTCCAAATTGGTAAAAATTACGATCCGTTCGAGTAGTATGAGAAAAATTTTCAACTTTGATCGTTCGGATTCCTGGAAGAAAATAACGCGAGGGAAGAGAAAAACGCTTAAAGCGCATATTTTATTTCGTGTCACAGAGAGAGAGAGAGAGAGACAGAGAGGGCATAGAATAAAGATAAAAGATTGGTCTGACAAGCGTTCGATAACAAATATCATGGATGTACGTTCCTCTCTGCGATTTGAATGAAATAAGGCTTAGTGTCGCGTTTGCTCTTTAACGAAAACGTTCCAGAGTATCATAAGACAGTGCATCTCAATCTATGACCTCTCTCAATGCTTATAGAAGCGTTCAAATAAGAGAGAAATGTTGCAATTTCTATTCATCGTTAAATTTTTTCGAGTCAAGACAGTCGATGAAAAGAAAATTACTCGCCGTAAGAGGATCGAAAACGAATGCAATATCGATTCGAAGCTTATTTCTTAAATGGATCGTTTGTTTTGAAAGTTCATTTTTTGTTGTTTCGAGAAAATTAAAGATCGGCATATTACAATCAATTCAAAAATATAAATTAATTATATCTGGCAATGTTTCCACTAATTACACCATTTTCATAATTGTAAAAATCATTTAATTTCAATTAAATGAAAAATTGAAAAATTTTATTACAAATTTTCTTTAAAAAATAATAACAAGAGATAAAGTAGGAGCAGTATTTTTTATTTTGAAATAAACGTGACACATGTTTTGAAATATTCATGATGCACAGGAGGTATATAATAACTGCTCCATATCCTTATATTTTTCGTATATAATCGTTACACAAACGTTTTAAATTCTGTGTCTATGCAAATTGGACTTGCACCACTTTCATAATCATTCTTAAATTGAATCATTGGAATTTTTTGTTGTAAATAAAAAGTTTACACTAAATCTCATTTCTTTTACCAAAATGGACCTACAATAAATAAACGAGCTCCAAATTATATCTCATCTTAACAAACGAACCTCGATCTTCGACATTTTTGTGCGTCAATTTTCGCGTTTGTTTTAATCTCCATTCGATCCTTAAAAGTCGAATATACGCATGTGGCGAAAAGTTATGTTGAGAAACGCTGTTATAAGAACGGTAGGAAGCGGTGAGGATAAAGAGATTTGCTTCGATGTTTTTGGGGTGGGAATAACATAAAATTTGAATATCATTGTCTTTGTTGTTACCGGTCTTTACGAGACCCGGTAAACGATAGGAATTGCGTTATTTATCGTGTTGTTGCCACACGCGATACGGCACACTGTGTGTGTATGTGTGGAAGCTAACAGTTTCTCAACCCCCCTTTTTTGTTTCAGATGCCCGCATTCTGCAGAATAAACACAGAGAGTCGAACCGAGGTAACAGGGATGAAAGGATTTCTTCGACTGTGTCGAGAAAGGGTAAGACGAGCTCAGAATGTTGTATCGCGCTTTCAAAGAGTCTTTTACAACGTTTTATCGCATTTACAGAGGATTGTCTCTTTACCGACGTGAATAGAAAACGCTGGAATATTATAAATATTTCAGTTACGGCGCGAGAAACGTGATCTTCTTTTGCAGTAGTGTGTTCTGGAGAAAAAAAAAAAAAATAAAAAAAAAAAGAAAGAAGAAGGAAAGAAAGAAACGGGGAAGTCAGTCGGTTTGAAGTCAGTATTTCGTACAATTTTATATCCTTATTTACTTCTTCTTTCTTATTTTTTTCCCGAATCAATTTTTTTTTTTTAATAATCGAATGACTCTTGAGTTAAGAACACGCATCGTGAAATAATTGATTAACTGAAAATGTTTTAATTGTTTTGGATTTCGAATTTCATTTTACAGAATTTGTAAAAATTGTTAATAACGAAGTAAAGAATCTCATTGTAATTAGAATACAGATTGCCAGATCTGAAAGAAACTGTATCACAACGTGTGCACGGATTATTAATTGACAATTTTATTATTCATTCACAATCCAATATTCATAAATTTATTGTCATTTACATTATTACATTTACATTCAATTCACAAATTCTAAATTATACATCTCATAAGAAACAATTCCTCCCCCCTTCTTCCCCATTTCCACCGATTACAACAAAGTTCCAAGAGCAAAAGTTGCACGACGAATTATATATCATATCCATTGCAATACCTTTAATGCAATATAAAACTCGCCACTCGAGTTTCATCTTTTCACGCGTGACTCGACTCACGCGATATTCACAGAGAGAGAATTATCGAGAATTCCACGCCATTGAGATGTTTAAATCGTATCGTGTAAGGAGAGACACGGCGCCCTCTATCGTTTCTTCGAGATCTTCTGCGTTCACCGGCGTAAGTTTCTCGCCGTGGAAAACGAATATTTACAGCATAAAGGATTTTCGCGGATATCGTCGAGTTATCGTAAATCCGGCCGGGTTAATTCACCGGCGCCGCCATTTCCGTAAACGAGTTTCGCCGGTACGAACAGAAGACGCGTGGAAACAATGGAAAACTCGTGGCAAATTGTCGCCAATTTCAGGCTGCCGTTTACACGTCGAACAACGTTCCTCGAATTATTATTATTTCCATCGATGGCGGTGATTTAATTAGAAATTAAACGAAAGAGGCTTGGCTGCCCGAGGGATTGTCTTGGCGGGAGATTCCAATAGATCTAGAATTTGAAACCGAGGGATGATCCGCGATGAAACGGCCATTTCCAATTAACTTAATTAACATTTATAGAAGGTTGGAATTTTGACGAAAATAATGGGCCCTATCGGGGGAGAGTGGGTTTTAATTAATTTTCGCAATTGTATCTCCGCGGATAATTGTATTTCCCGCGGATTTAATTAACGAAGACGAGTTCCTTGCGCGCGCGTTTCGAAAAGAAACGCTTCCTCCTCGTTGACGAAAGTATCGGCGACGGCCAATTAGCCGAGAGCTATTTCTTATAACGTAACTTTCGTTTAACGATCGTTTCACGTTTCTTTTTTTCTTTTCTTCGCGATTGGCGGAGTTTCGAAGTATCTTCTATTATTCGAACGTTCGATTCATCGTAAATATTTTGTTTATCCATTAATTTGTTATTCGTATCGTATTTAAGAAATATTGGAAGAATATTGGAAGTTTCAAGATGATTGGAAAACAGAAAGAAATGAGAAATTATTTGCAAGATGTACATTTTTTAACGAAGCTCACGATCGATTTATGAATTTTCCTTTCGTTCCTACTAATAATAAGTTATCGTTTAATTTTGGAATAATTATTAATATCTATTTTACAAATTAATTTTAATAAAATGTTTAATTATTTAGGTGTATATATAGTATACAGTTCTTTATCCCGTGTTTGTAAAAAGAATGTGTTTATACATTTATAAAAAAAATTCTTTGAATATATTTAAGAGTTGCTCCATTTGGAAATGGCTTATTCAATGAAAGAGCGTTTGGTTGTTTGGAAAAATGATGAACCGTAAATACACGAGGATCTATTCTGTTTATTTGTTCGAAATAACCAGAAGTGGCTCTCTGCATTCATTCTTTCATATTTATCCATCTTTTTTTTTTACTTTTATCTACATGAAATGACGAATAAATGTAGAATGGCATTGTTTTATTGAAAATATTACGTCCTCCATTGTTTCTCCTAGATTATTTTCGATATATTTTCTTAAATCGTTCACGGTATTTTCTTGACTCTTTTCTTTCAATTTTTCCTTCCTTGTGAAAAAAAAATCAATGAGTTATTACAAGCTTTACACGAGCTTCTTGAAATGTTAAATTCTTGACACTTGAACTCTATTTTACAAGTTTAAACTTATAGAAAAAGTTATGTAATTTGGACGATTCGTAATGATAAATAATAAAGTTTAAATAATTTTGATGCAATGCACTAACATTTTAAAATATTCAAAACTATATGTATGGAATGCAAATGTACAAAGAAAAGAAAAGAAAAAAAAAAAAATCTAAAAGATAGTGAACGCAAGAGACTAAATTGCAGGACGCTTATCTTGAATTAAAAACAACAACAATTAAAAAAATCTAAAAACCACTCTTTTCAAATTAGCGAAGTTTTCAAATTTTAAACGTGTTTCCTCAAATTTATGACACACCGTGAGAAAATTCAGAGAGAGATTTTCGCGGAAAAATCTTTATTCTTCGTTACACGTATGAACTGATTTTCGTTTACTTGTTTCCCTCTAACTCCAATTTATTTTAATTCATTTCAACTCATTTTGAAACACCTTATTTTAATTTATTTTAATCTACTTGAAAAGCAAAATTACAAATGAAGATGTTGTCAACCTCCTCCTCCTCCTCCTCGGCATAAACGTGGTGGCATCTCATTTTACCCCATACTTAAATACCCCATTTCACTACAGAAGCTAATTTACTAGACATTAAATATTTACCCTTAAGCGTTATATAAACGATCGTGTTACACGTTAAAACACCGTGTAAAGAGAATGCAATATTTATTCATTTGTATTATTAATGAATTACTCAATTTTACTACATTCGATGTAATTATGTAAATTAGGCCATAATTTTCACCCAATTACAGAACAATTTTAATCAAAAAGCAACGAATTAAAAATAACTTTTTGATTTCTTATACTTGCCTTGAGTTTTTTTTTTCTTTTTTTTTAATAGCAAAGTGTATAAAAATTATTAATGAATCGAAAAACATTACAAATGACAAATTCTTCAAATATACCTGCTTTCTAATTATTCTTTCATCATTTTTCCCAAGCAGTGTCAAATTTCACAATTAAGAAAATTAAAATAGAAGAAACACCGATACCTTCCATTCATACTTTTAACAAACCTTCTGATTCACAAAATTCTAAATAAATAATAAGTCAAACTGTCACCCATTAAACTTAGAAAATCCATTTCCAAAAAAGAAAATTATTCGAACAAAATTTGAATAAAACCTAACAATATATATATGGACGTTAAAACATGATTTGCTAGCAATCAGCCTGTACAACAACAAGAGAAAACGAAAAAAAAAAAAACCCGTATTATAATTAATTTTTGCACGATAACACGCTTTCGACTTTGCGGAACGATCAATGGCGCGAACACGCGGCAAGTTAATCACGTCGTCGAATGATCTCGCGTGGCATGTTCCCAGGCATATCGTTTCGAGTTCCTGCCTTGAACGCGAGCCAATTTGCGGTATATATATATATGTAACTGCACGTCAGCTGCTGGTTCCGCCTTTATGAGGCAAATGAGCCATGCCGATTGAACCGCAATACCCGACCATATTTAGTAATAACACGATATCCCGCCGAATTTCGGGAAAAATCTCAAATCTTCGATTCGAGAAAGTCTGTTAATTAAACGCGGTCGCCGAACGAAAAATATTTCCAGGGAGAATATATTAACACGAATCGACATCGGACATGAGAAAAAACTCGATTAACGATTAACGCCACAATGGAAAGTTAAACCTCGATTTCAAAATTTTCTCAAATTAATTAACAATGGTCGAAAAGAAAGGGAGGGGGGAGGGATTTTTAACGCTTTCTTCCAAAGCGTTTTTGGCAAAGCGTCGTATTATTTTTCGTATAAACATTCGCATGATGAAAAATTACAGGCGCGGAGATGAGATATCTCGATTGATTCGTTTAATCGATTGATTAAAGCAACGATTCCAAAAGATTCCACTCTCTTTTTCATTCTTTATTTGAGAAATTTTTGGAACGGAGTTTGCTTCGTTTCTCGAGAAAATAGGCAACTTTCGTTTCAATTCCGCCAGGTGTTCGATTCACAGTACAAGTAGAAATTTAACATCCATTGCTCCTCGATCAAGCGCAGATTTCCAAAGGATGCGCATTGTGATATCTTCTCGTTGAGAAGAGAAAGGGTTGAATATAGAAAATTTGGCGCGTTCGAAAATATTTTTGATAGGAAAAAAACGGCACTCCCTAATGAATTCACGTTGCATCACGTTGCGTCGTATTTTCACGAAGCCGTTTTCGAGTTTCGAGTTGAACGCGTGCCAATCTGTGCCCTGTAACTCGCATATTAACCTCACGGTTTCGTTTTCGCGAAGAAACGAACCGTGTCAACCAAGGATACCAATTAATTTCGCTAATGCCCCTTCTCGACGTGCTGCTATTTCAATTTCTGTGTTTCGGCTGAGAGAGGAGGCGACTGGGAAATGAAACTTTGAGAGATTCTCTTTTCTTTTTTCTTTTGGGGGGGGGGAGGGGATGGGGAAGGGGGGGGAGGACATACAGGTACTTTTATAATGTAAATGTATCGAGAGAAATATTACAAGTTGAGTTTGCTATTTTATCGCGTGTGTCATGTACGCTGTTTTCTATCTAAAATATAGAAATTATATTTTGAAAGGAAAAGTAAAATAAAATTTACACGAATTACACGTTTGTTTCTCGATATATTTAATGAAATAATATC